TTTTTTAGTATAATATGTGTGTGGGTAGAAGTGAATCATTTACTGCTTGCAAACCAATGATGGTAAGATGATGTCATGGGGTAGGACTGGATAAGTCTGACTTCTTCCTACTCCATTCAAGCATGTACTAGGTATAAGCAAATGGATAATGGATTGTGTGTAAAAATGTGCTTGGAAGCGCCGCCCCAACAGCTCGACAAGGCTAACGCACCATAACTGCCACTGACAAGTAAGTTCACATGTGATTCCTCAAACCCTGTCACTTCTCTTACATGACCAATCAGTAAATCTCTGGTATCACTCCATGCAGTAGGGCAAGAAATCATTGGTATTGCCAACTGTTTTAAATGTCTAAATGTCTTTTTAAGGCCTAGAAAAATTCAACAACACCATTCAACAAATTTATTTTAAGTTTCCTGTGTCACACAATATCACTGCAGGTTTAACTGTCAGACTGTCATGCATACATTTTAAGCAACCCTTGAATGCAAAATAAAGTCAAAAGAGCTTGATGTGTTCAGTCACACACACACACACACTGCACAAACAAGCGTACCCTAGATATCTGAGCTACCAGTGATGTAAAACCTGATTAGTATGTGGGAATGTCATTTTGTGGGAGCAAGGACCAGGCACAGTGAGTTGATTCTGAGGACTCACAGTTCAGTGTGAGACATTGTCATTCACACACCTAATCAGCACAATTATCTCTGAATGTTTTCAGCTAGGATTAACACATTTGTAATGAAGTTTGCACCCTCTCATCAGCGGGTCTACCGGCTTTACAGTTGATAGCAAAGACAATCTCATTACACCCCATTTCCTGTTTGGTCCGACTGTTCCTCTGCAGTACAAAGCATGTCAAAAGACTGTTGCATCTTGCACAGAGTTATGATGTTTAGGTTGTGTTGCTTCGTAGCCAGCTAGCTCAAAATGAAACCACAGTCAATGGCGGCGTGGTCACGCATCTTTTTTGCCCGAACTGCGATTGTGATGTAAAAAAGTGCTCAGCATGACATGATGAGACACACGATCAGACAGGAACGACCCTCCCGACGACTGTTTGCATGATAAAAGACGGAGTCACAAGATGCTGCGTTGTGAGCTTGAATTGTGAAATTGAAATTACAACCACAGAAAGTCGCAGTGGTAAAGCAGAGACTTTTACTGTCCGTATATTGGCCTGAAGCACATCAGCACTGAGCAACAAAGAACCAAAAACACCTTGAAAGCTACTTCTGCCTAATCATATTTATATTAGGTACAACTACTCATCAACGTAGGCTGAAGGGGGCCAGCTAAATATTATATGCTTGGTTACAATAACAAAACAGGCCAAGAGTTTAAGAAGAATAGCTCTGGAGGAGATGGGATCTCTTGTGCGAGCAGGTCATTAAGCTTTTTCTGGCAAATCAGCCAAAATTCCACGTCTACCGAAACGTCTTTCCCCATATTAAAATAAAGACGGGCTATTACAGCCCGGCTAACAGGATATCTTAGATATGACATGAGTAAACTTACCTTCAAAGTGCTTTATCGGGGCTCGGTAAGTGGAGCAGGTCGAACTATGTGGCCATCTCCCGGGAATTCACCGAGAATGCCCGATGTGTTTTCCAAAGTCTGCAAAGCAGAGCCTCCGTGACGCCAACATTATCCTCAGTCGCTCGCTCGGTTTAAATAAAAAAGAGCAGTAAATTCGCAGGATTTTCACGTTCAAAAGAGGAAAAAAAGATAAGCTAACATCTTGTGCCGCTGCCCTTCACACATTTGCACTGTCCAGGACACAACTCTCACTCCGGGCGGCGCTACGAAGGCAAAACCCCAGGATTGGAGGAGCAAGTTACCTTGCATCAATTATCCAGCGTCAAGCGACGTGATAAATACAGACTCTTCCGGTGAGGATTTTCACTATAAAACAAAACAGCGCTGCGTCTTTCACTTTTGTTATTATTAATAGGGCTCAAAGAATTCATATCCTTTCAATAAAAGTAGAAATAGGCTACTGCACACAAGATACGTCATCACAAGTAAAACCCCTGCTGCAAATTTTTACTTGAGAATAAAGTACAAGTAGGCAAATATTGGCTACACAGTGGTGAAATGATGTCTTATAGCCTAGAAGTATGTCCCGACAAACTTTAGGTAGGCTACTTGTACAAGTACCTCAAATTTGTAACTAGCCTACTTCTAGACAAGTTATCTACAAGTTACCTGAGTAGTCCCATTAGGCTATATGGCTCTTTTACTCTGACATTTCAGGAGGAAACACTGTACCCTACGTGTTACCAGTCTACATTTATTTCAGAGCTGTAGTTAGTGGTTTACAAATTTCACGCTGCACACACAAGAACTGCTCATAAAATATGATGCATCATTTCAGATTAAACTACTACAGCGGTAAAATGCCACTTACACACGAACTCACCAGCAATAATAATTAAATTGGGGCAATTGTTTTCATTATCATTTATTGTGTGAATTGGTTTTTTTTAATTATTATGATTTCTTATTTTGTCTATAAAATTTAAAAAAAAGTTACAAATTAATGCCACAATTGTGCTGAGGATGTCTGTATTCTCTTCATGACATGTTTGTCTAAATGTGGGAGTGTGATTGTGATATTATTATAGACTACATTCATTCTTGACTGCATCACAACAGACTTCTGACATTTAAACTATTCCTTTTTTGGCTATCTTTATTAGGACTAACGTAATAAAAAAAAATCCTCTACCATCCACACGTGTGACTGAGTGTGCATGCACCACACACATTTGTTCACGCGTTTAACAGTTTGGATTAGTTTTAGCTGTGACCTAAAGTAGACCTATATCCTACGACTTAACACATCGCAGA